ATTCCAATCTGTGCAATTCATAGCTAAATAAATACCAAACTGTAAGTTACAAGGCACATAAGAAACACGTTCAGGCCTTGAGAGATAGCTCCGTAGAATAAGTGCTTGTCTGGCAAGCGCAGGGTCCTTAGTTCAATCCCTGGTACTGTTAAAAAAAAAAAAAAACAAAAAACGTTCATTTTGTCTAAAACCCTAGTATAGGGATGGTGAACCTTTTACAGATCAAGTGCCCAAACTACGACCTAAAACCCATTTACTTATCACAAAGCGCCAACATGCAATTAAACCTGAATACTGACAAGCCATAGGCAGGCTCGGAAGAGTTGTGGCTAATGAGTCGTCACTCCTGACATCACTACCTGGCACTGCTACTCCTTCTGCACATGCGCATGGCCCCTACCTGTGCTGTTACCCAATACTCTATGCTGAGGTGACTTGACTCGCTTGCCAATGAAGATTCTGCACATCTCCTGTTGCACATATCCATATATTCTTCACCAGTGCCCAAGTTACTCATGCTTCTTTTATGAACTGCTCCATACCACCACTCACCTAGTGACTTGTTTGTGAAAGTCTGTAAGTTGTTTGTGTGTCACTGTGACAGCTCCCACGGTTGTCTCCTTTGGCAAACCTTTCAGGGAATTCTCTAACCATCGACAAAAGGTCTGTATGGGGAGAAGAGGGATAAGTGTTTTAAGAGGAGGCAGTTTTACTTACCTGGGGCCCTACGGATGCTAAAAAAACTCCACAGCATCTGCTCCTCTACACTTGGATCAAGTAAAGGAATTAAAAAAAGTACTAGCCTAGTCTTCAAATGCTCTGGGATGATGTAGTCTGCAAATTCAAGTCTATAATTCCCTTCAAAGGAGCAGCAGGCATCAACTCACACAAAGGTGTTCAATATCTTCCAGAAGAAACTATTGTTCTGCTCCTGTCCTTAAACTTAAATAAACACCTAAAGATGCCAGAAAACTCTTAAAGTTGAAGATCAAAAGAACTCAAAGTAAATTTTCAGATGTCAAAAAGACCAGCGGCAAAATGAATATTAAGTAAAGCAGAGCAGGTTGAGCTGGACAGTATCACAGAAGCCAAAAATAAGAGCAGAAAATGAAAAACTAAAAGAACGTTTACAGACTTTACAAACAAGGTATTAATTGGAAATGCAAATGCTGGTATTGAGTATTCAGCCATGTGCAATTTAAAAGGCCTAAGGGAGAACAGCACTTCAAAACATGGTCATAGAAAGCCATCATGAGCACCTACAGCTCTAAGGCAAAAGAACTGATAGAAAAATATAGAACTTAAACTGGGGGTGATAGCACCCTCCTGTAATCCCAGCACTTGAGAGGCAGAGGCAGGAAGGTCACTGTGAGTTCAAGACCAGCCTGGGCTACAAAGTGAGCTTACAGCCAGCCTGAGCTGCCTAACAAGACCCTTCCTCAAAAAGACAAAAAATAAAAAAATTTTAAAAAGGAAAAATATAGAATTTAGAATTTGGTAGATGATGATGAATGGTAACCATTATGCAAGCAAATATACTAAAAAATAAAAAAACATATTGACAGATGAGAAATGTTTGTTTTTGCAGCCTTCATAATGGTATCAGTGCCTAATATATCAAGAAGAAATGAACTCAAAGTACCAGATATAGTTTTGTTATTAGTAAAAACTGCAATACTTAGGAATATGCAAATGAATTCTTTGTTGTTCTTCTACAGTGAATATTACTATGGTAATAAAAAGTTTATTAAGAAAAGAAACAAGTACACTGAATAAGCATGTCATAGCCAGGTATGGTGTACGCCTGTAATCTTAGCACTAGGGAGGCTGAAGCAGTTTACGTTATATCCAGTTCCCTGTGGTATTTGCCTATGCTCTAGGTTAGAGAATCTCATGCTTGTTGTTATTTAAGAACATTTATTTATATATGAGAATTTCTTTGAAGCTTCCACATGCACAAAAGTTGGCCACCTTTATTTCCTTCCTCTTCAAACTAAAAATCAAAATTCTAGAGACTTCCTCTGGGTTATTTTCAGCTTAACTGTTCTCCTTTTGAGTCAGCTCTGACTTTTCTTCTCTTTTTTAAGTGTGACGTACACTTTGGTCAGTTTTCAGCTGTAAAACTACCTTTTTACATCTACTCTTTAATATTATGCATTTCCTCATCATATTTATTTAGAATCATAAAAGACCAATGCAAAAGTAAATATTATAACATAAATGTTTAACAAATATAATTCTCCAAATGGTGCCCACAGAAAAGAATACTCAAGGAGGAAAAAAAACTTTAGGGGTGAAAGTTTCAAAACAGGATCATCAAATTAACATTCTGGCAGTCCAAATATGGACTAAGAGTTAACTATAGCCCCACCCCTGTGAAAACAACCAAGTATTAAATTAAAAGGTAAAAATTAATTAAGTAGACATAATTAATGGTCCTTTATCATCTTCTAGTAAAGAATTCTGAAAAATATGGCTGAAAACACTGAATAAGTTTACCACAGATGGACATCCAATGAAGAAATAGGGCACAGAGGATATTTAATTTTGATACAAGAAAGTGCTGAAGAATCTCAATTTTTTTTGAAACAGTCTTCAGCTACATAGTTCAGCCTGACCTAAAACTCATGCCAATCCTCTTGCCTTAGCCTCCTGTGGCTGCTGGCATTACTGGTGTGTAGCATCATTACTGGCTATTTTATTTTTTATGTATTTAGTACAGGGTCTACAGGGTCTCACTACACAAATTGGACTCATAGTGATTTCAGCCTCCCAAGCGTTGGGATTACAGGTGCATGCCACCTTGCCCAGTCTCAATCGCCGTCTCAGTGCACTCCAGAGGCGGGGCTGGCACAGCAGGCCACGGATCAACCCTAGTCCCTGTGACTGCGTAAGCAGGTGCTTTAATCTGCTGAGTTATCTGACTGGCCCTTTCTTTTGACGTATATGTTACCTACAAATTAATTCATCATATATAGGCAATCTAAACTCATATAAAACTTCTTTCATAAAAACTCTGTGGACTGATGTTCACAGAAAAAAAATCACTTTTAAGTTATGCGACAATCAAGTATCTAGCTACATAATAAACTTTAACAAGTACACTGCTACTTGATTTCTGTTCCTCTCCAAACCTGTCATTCCTATTATTTTTTCTTTTACTGGTGGTGCTGGGAATCAAACACAGAGCTTCACACATGCTACACATGTCCTCTACCAATGAGCTACACACTCACTCAGTTCCCCATTTTTTTCTGTTGGTCCTTAATAGTATGTTTAAGCATGTTTCTGTAAAGTTTCATTTACATAATAAGTCTTCTGTTTCCTAGTAGCCAAGTGTATTTGTAAAATGCTTAATCAGGTGATAGGGATTTTATTTCTCAAATGATTTTGAAATTAGTTGGACAGCGGTGGAAGACTTTTTTTTTTTTTTTGCGGAACCGGGGATTGAACTTAGACCCTTGCGCTTGCTAGGGAAGCGCTTATTCCACTGAGCCATTTCCCCGGCCCCTGGGAGACTGCTTTTTTAAGAAAAGAAAATGCTGAAATAGCTGGGTGTGGTGGTGCATGCCTGTAATCTCAACATTTAGGAGGCTGAAGCAGGAGGATCACCACAAATTCCAAGCCAGGCTGGGCTACAGATAGTGAGATTTTTGAGGCCAGCTTAGAATATATAGCAAGATCTCATCTCAAAAAAAAGGGGCTGGAGTGGGGATTGGGAAACGATAGCTAGTAGGCCAAGTGTTTTGTTTTGGGATAACCAAAGTGATCTAAATTCCACAGAAATGCTACTGTATTAGATTGAAATGGAATATGCATACTGAAAAAATAGTAATGTGAATGTTAGGTACTGTTATATACTATTATTCATTACAATTCCAAGGTCCTGGAAGATAGCTCACTTTAACTAGGTTCAACTGTGAATTTTCCTGAACAGCTTTTACATTAAAAATTATAGGTATTATTTTTAAAAATAGTTAAGCCCTCCCCCCACCTTAAGATGGTTGTGACATGTGACTATAATCCTAGCACTAAACAGGATAAGGCAGGACATCACTGCAAGCTGGACCCAGTCTGTACTACAGAGCAAAAACTTGTCTCACAAAACGAAACAGCCAGGCATGGTGGCACATGCCTATAATTCTAGAACTCAGAAGGTTGAGGCAGGATGAGCATCTGCAAGTTTGGAGCTAGCCGGCTCTACATAGTGAATGCAAGGCCATACTGAGACCCTGCCTCAAAAACCCCAAAATTCATAGGCTATATTATACTTCATTGCTATGTGCAGAACTTTGACATGGTATACATATATAACTTGAATTATAATCACATGGCTATAATTGAGATTGCTTGGACTTTATCATCAGAGAATAAAGTGCTATAGAAAGAGTCCAAAGTGATGGATCATTTCTTGGATAACCTGTAACTCGCTATAAATGATATATGGGAAACTCTCAAGTGAAAAGTTCCACAGTTGTCTAGCCACAGTACTAATCCAATGGTTGGTTAGTACTTAACTTCTGCTAATAAAAAGCATAAATCTTATGACAGTGACAAAAATATGCTTTTAATAACTTAATAATGAATTATAGGCCTTATATAGATCTTCATAACTTAGCAATATCCATGATGAAATCACTCATGTAATACAAATATATACTAATAGAAATTAACAGACAAAACTTAGCAATGTGCCTAAATTTAATGTCAAGGACATATACGGCAGGTCTAGTTTCAAAGTTATGGTCAACTTCAAGAACTAAAGCCTGTTATATTTAGAGGCATGACCACTATGACCACATATTCCTTATGAAACAATCTTACCGGTCTATCGACCTGCATGATCTCCCAAAGCACTTCAGCCACATCTGGTAAGGTGTAAGGGGGGAGACAAAAGCAGCATGTATGGAGCAGCTGGCTTACAAGCTGCTGTCCAAGCTGGTTCATCACCTGCCCAATCAGTTCTTTCCGTAATTCAAAGTCGTCTTCATGCTGTAAGAAAGCAGATCACATAACTGGTGGTTCTGGTTTCTACTATCCAAAGAATAAGAACTTTAAGTGTCTGCCTGTCAAGCACAAGATCCTGAGTTCAATACCCAGGACCGAAAACAAAAAACAAAAAACAAGCTCTTTCTTATTTAGTGTAATTTCTCTTTCCTAGGAAACTATCTATCTATCTATCTATCTATCTATCTATCTATCTATCT